CTCTTCTCTCTCTCTCTCGTCGGCAATTTATTAAATCTGCAACCTTGCAATTAGATTACAACTAGATCTAGATTCGAGACTTTAGTAAAGGCAGAGTCCAGGGAAAAACATCAATTAAATTTGTGTGGTGCAGATGAGTAAAGAGAGACCAAAACAATCTCTCTATTGCGACTATCATTGCACATCACTTCGCCTAATACATGTTCCGGTAGATTTAACTACCTATGAATAGATGGAAGTTTGACCCGTGTCAAAGGTTGGGGGTGGCTGACGATTCGGGAGGTGGCTGCGGGTTGACGAAAGGGAAAAGCGCCGCGGCGCCGCGAAGAGAGAGAGGAGGCTCCATTAGTTCTAAACTCCGTGGGGGAGCCCTATCAGAGCAATGTGTCCCCTCGTTGGTCTCGGTGGCGGATGGAGAGCCTCGGACTACTCGGAGTCGAACCAACCACTTCAACACAGATGGAATCTTAAAAAAACAACAACTATTCACCTTTCTTCAAATCCCAACATAGCTTTAAAAAAAAATAATTTAAAAAATCTCAACTCGCTGCCGCGGAGCCGAGCAAACTTACAAACTCAGGGAAAAGGGACATATAGGCCAGCCTTTGCCCTCCCTCCTCTCACGAAGCTGCGGGAGCGGCCGTACACGACCATTTGCAGCACTGGTGCACAGAGGAGGGTTACAGACCTTACCCTCTTCAAGACCAGAGTCTGGAGATGCAGCATGACAAGCACTCGGATACATCTCCACAAACGTCCAGAAGCTGTCTTCTGAAACACTCTTTTTTGTCAAGTGCGCATAGGAGAAAAAAGTGGCCGGACTCCCGAAGACTTTCCCTTTAGGCCCGAAGATAGTGACCATAACAGCTGGTCTCATATAACTGAAGAACGGAATTGCGAAAAGGATATGACCGTGCGTACGGAACTTTTCCACTTTCTCAACATGGCATAGCTTAGTAGCACAACAAATCGATGGAGGAAGATTGTATGGACCAGAACATTGCCAGTTACAATGACAGGGTCAACATGCACATGAACAAGTGATCGCGGCCACTTTTTGACGACATCAACTCACAATGCATGGACCCTGTCAGCATGGACCCTGTCAGACGATCAACACAGGCAACTGTGGTGTAGTGATTAGATGCTTTGCCGCCGCACGCGAAAGATCTTAGTTTGATTCCAGTGTGCGGATGATTTTATCGAGTATTCCAGTCTTCCCACTGGGATGTTACATCTTCTTTTTGCTGGGGCGCTCTGTCTTTCTCAGCCCGATTTGGCCCTCACGGGCTGGGAGGAAGACCGACTCATAAATGATCGAAACTGTGTCCATTGGAGTGAAAAAACACCTACATTAAAAAACAAAATAAATAAATGAAAGGCGATTATGAGTTGCACCAACCATTTGGACCATCTTGGGTGTGCAGACAAATGGCCCTCACGTAGACTGTGTGTTCAGATACATGTAAGCAGCCTGTATGCAACTTGTTCTAGGCAGGATGGATAGACTGGTTGGATCGGAAGTAAAACAAAAAAGAGGGGGGGGGGATGCAAGAATGTATTTCTTGCTGCCTCTGCCAACCCAGAGTAGCTCCAGATTTTTAAAGGGCAGTACAAGAAAGCGTGTGATACATGTCACTCCTGCTCTGTGCTTGAGAAATGCTAACTTTCAAGCGAACCATTATCATCGTCAGTGAACATTAGCATTTTGCCTTTTCCAAGTTTTGAAATGTTTCTGTTTCACATTTGTTTTGCAATGGATCAACGTCCTGATTTTCGTTTGAAGAAAATCGATTCTGTTAATTTTCAGTAATCACTTCAGTTTACATTTTTAAAACTATTTGTCGTGCTTTTGTCATGTTGATGGCTCCAGTTAGTGAAACAGGAACGAGCCTGAGTTTCATTCGTCTGCTGGGGGGGGGGGGGGGGGCTCTCGTGGCCCAGAGGTTAAGGTGTTAAGGTGTTTGCCTCTCATTCAAAGATCCCGTGTTCGAATCCGGGATAGCGACCGGCAAATTTCCTCCTCTAAAATTGTCTCCTTTCACATGATTTCCTGCTCTCTAACAATGTTCTGTCGTCTGCTTTCGTCTCCACTTTCTGCCCCCACCCCGTCACGTCGTTTGCCCCCTCCTCTGGGCTCCTGACTCTTTCTACAACCTTTCTACTGCTACTCCTTGGCTCCTTCTTACTGTTGTCTTTCAGCCACACCCTTGATCTTCTGGTAGGAAAGATCTACCCCTAGCCTTCTCGGACAAGGGCGAAAAACCTCGGAGGTCCCGTGTGCAAGTTGCACACGTTAAAAAAGATCCCTTGGTGGTCTAAAATCGATAAGAGTAGGCTGCGGAAATTGTAAATTTCCTACCAACTGAAAATGTTTGGAGTGTCCCGCGCGCTCATGACTTTATTGCAGTTGCGAGCGCCGTAAAACGCTTACCAAAAAAAAAAACTTTAAAAAAACAAAACTTTCGTCTAAAATTCGTAATGTTGGAGACCATGCCAATGTTCCACGGTTCATGCGAGTTGTGAGCCTCTCGCACAGTTCATTGCGTGCTCCAGCAATTTGGTGTGAACAGACACGCGTCAGCCGAACTATATCTAGATCTAGTAATAGTGCTTGCAAACTGTTGTTATGACACAAAAACACCTGCATAACCCGGTGCAGTAGTGATCCTCCACCCCCACCCCCCCCCCCCTCACTCTCTCTCTCTCTCTCTCTCTCTCTCTCTCTCTCTCTCTCTCTCTCTCCCTCTCTTTCTCGCTCTCTCTCTCGCTCTCTTTCCCTACCCTCTCTTTAGAACACGCTTGAGTAAAGATAGTTACACAAAAACTGGCACGCGACACACACACACACACACACACACACACACACACACACACACATACACACACTATAACACGAACACATCGATAACGACACACAGCCACTTGTTACAGACCAGTATGAATAGAAAAATATATTGAAATAACACAATAGTCTGTCTGTCTGTCTGTCTGTCTGTCTGTCTGTCTGTTTGTCTGTCTGTCTGTCTGTCTATCTGTCTATCTGTCTGCCTGTCTGTCTGTCTGTCATACACAATGGAAATGTCGGTCGTTACACACTAAAGCAGCTGGGCCGGATAAAAAATTGATGCTTTTTTTCGCTAATTTGAATGTTGATAAAGCGGTCGACACACGCAGACTAGTCATTAATTATTAGTTCCACGTACGCAGGAGGAGGAAGCGTGGTGTGTTGAAGCTGTCCTTCGAATCTCTGACTTTTTCTTTGGACGGGTTTTAACATTCTTTTATTGGCCAGTCTGAAGGACCGAAAGGGTATGTGTTCGATCACCATGTCGCAAAGGTATTATATATAATGATGGTGCAATGTAGTTGACTCACTTAATTAAAGGACAGCTATCTTGTACTGAATACGTGATTTCACAGGGAGCCAGTGTGGCTGGATTAACATTAAACATTTTTGTTGCATTTTCCTTGGGAAATTTCTTTAGAATTATGCGAGTCAACTTGGTTATCACTTTAGCAGGGAAGTTTTCAAAAAGAGAATTGCTGTCACCTAGACGTGAAAGCTCAAATGATGATGGTTTTAATGGAATTGAGACTAAGATATGGTGACATTTGTCCTATTCTGCTTGGTTCCAAATATATATTGCTTTTACACACATTGTCTATATGATGGTGTACAGATAATAGTCTAACGCCCCGGGGAAGTGCCACTGACTGAAGTGTCTTTAGGCCATTCCCAAAGGGGGGGGGGGGGGGGCATTAACCATGTTCTTATTCACAGTAGAATTGTAATTGTAAATGGGCTGATTCATCAGTGTCATGCTCATAACTGTGCCTGAACTTCAACAGGAAACTGCTGCTTTTTCTTTCATAATCCTTACTTTTGTCATTTTCTTCTACTTCTTTACATAATTATGTTTGTCACTCTCTTGTGAACTGCTATTTTCGGGGTGCCTTGACAGCCGAAGCAGACTTTGTGCTGTTGAAGCTAGAGAGGTGAGCAGAGTAAGCCTGATACCCAGTAAGGGGTTCTCTGTTGACATCCAACCCTTGGCGCTCATATGACCTTATACAGTTGCGAGCGCCGTAAAATCTCTACTAAAACAAGATAATAGTCTGCATTCAAAATAAACACCTGGTGTTGTGAACTTGTCTCAAAGATCGTGTAGTACTAGTAGAGAATCTTTGCTTGTCTTACAATAGTTGTTTTTTTCCTAACCTTCAAAGGGAGACATCATGACAGATTCCTTCGACTATTTTGAGTTGGTCGTCTATGATGTCCACTGTGTGCAAAGAGGCCGCATGTTGGCGAGGAGGAGGATGGACCGGACCATTCGGGATGGCTTAGGAATATATACCGGTAAGTAGTACTCAGTTTCAGGAGCGAAGGCTGAATTGTTTGACAGGGTAATCAAAGTGAAATGGGACCAGATAGGGCCTGTAGATATCACACAAGAATCTTACTCGAGGCGGCGACTCTGAGTTGTGAATGAAAACAAATCTGGAATTCATAATATTGTATGTTCAACCGCCAAAATAATCGGGAAAGTATCTTATTAAATATCAGTTCCCACTAAAATTAAACTTAACTTTAGATGTGAATACATAAACATAAAGCAAAGAAGCAGAGATGTCAGTACTAGATCTATATGTTATAGAGTTATAGATTTACCAGTGAGTCTAACTCTTTGGTACAACATGACAATTATTATTTTTTAAATTTCACATTTGGCTGTTTTTGTTAGCCTTTCGCGGCCAGGAGCTGGTGTCATAATCGAGGTCACGATCTGATTATAGGACGGTAAAAAGTCGAGGAAAAAAAACAAGCACAAGCAGCAGTCAAGAGATTATTAAGAGTTAATTCCCCTCACATTTGTGAGGTAGACTCGACCAGTGTTAGTTAGCTTACTTAATCAGGGCTGGTGATTGATTTTAACTGTGGCCCCAAAGGGGTGAACAGGGTATATGTGGCAATGAAACAGCTTTGACTGCCATGCACATGTTCCCTTCAACTCTATTCCAGCCTCACTTTATTTGTTGATTACGAACGTCTTTTGACATTTAATTTATGAGGTTTACGTTTAAGGATGAATTTGACAGCGACTATGTTTCAAAATTAGAAAGGGAAGCAGTGATTATTTGATTATATAGACGCTTTGCCCCTGCTCAGTTTGTTTGTTTGTTTTCGACAATTTTGCTTGAAGCTTGCGCCTCTGTCCTTGTTCAGTTACTGTGTAATGCTTTAACTAAAAAAGTACTATCTGCTCACAGGTGGTGTTGTCACTACGAGTTAAAACGGCAGGGATTTTGGTGCATATTAAAAATTTCCTTTCCTCATACCTGAAGCTTTCGCTGTAAATACGTGTACATGTACTGTCATAAGGCATACAATCCTGGTCTTGTTAACGGAGTGTCTTATCGTGCCCTCTTCTTATTTATAGCACGCATTCTTAATATGCATGATTGAATGTTTATAAGAACCAGTCAAAAAATAAATAAACACACACACACACAAACACGCATAAAAGGGTTGTACACGCATGGGAATATACGTGCATTCAAACACGTGTGCGCTTTGGTTTGTGTCCGGAATGGGTGTTTTTTTTTCCACGCACGGGCGGAATTTAATGTTTGTCTGTCAGAATAGAGTGGAGGATCACTGACATAACTGGCTACACATTCTCGTCAAATAAAACTACAACACCGGTGTCTGAGGCCGATTCCCGAGAGTGAATAATTTTATTTATTTTTTAAAATTTATTTTTAGTATCTCGGTCTTTCTGCTGGGATATTGTACCCCTCTCAGCCTGGTTTAGCCCTAACAAGCGCTGTTGGAAGCCCACCTAAATAAATTATATTATCTAAATTGTGTCGATGGGGGCGTAAAAAACACCTACATTAAAAAAAAGCTCCAACACTGTTTTATACTTTTTTTCAGAACAGGAAATGAACGTGAAATCAGATTATGTAAATTGCAGGGCCAAAATGTCGATGAACCTGTTATTCAAGATAGATAGATCTAGTATAAACCGGACCAAAACAAATGACGCCAAAAACATGTTAAATTTGAGAATACTTCCACCACAATAAAAATATAAATTACTAAGAAAGTGTATTTAGATCTATGTGCAATTCATTTACTTTACATTCCATTCTGAATATGTGTATATCGCTTTCAGTTGTTTAAAAATATATTATTCGCAAAGTTATAGGCTTAGCCATCTTTGTGCAGCCAGAAAGGCGTCGGTAGCCAAGTGGTTAGGCTTCCCGATCCGTAATCGTGAGATAGATAGCAAGTTTGGGTTTACCGCGCTATTCTATGCTCATTAGCAGTAGTTGCGCCTTTCCTACCCCACAAGTGCTTAAGCCCCGGTTACACGCAACGATAAATTGTATCAGATTCGTCGTATGAGAGAACTGTCCGTTTTATCGAACTGTATTGTCTGTTTACACGTTCCAATCTGTCGTCCAGTTTTCTTTCCCCGTCATAAAGCCACCATGTCTCTTTACAACGACAGCGATTTGCCTGCACTCTGTGTGAAAGTTTCGAGCTCTGAACCTAATGAATGAAAGGCGAACACTGTAGGCGTACCTCTTGATCACGAGAGAGCCCCCCCCCCCCCCCCCCCCCGTACATTTTGATTTAGCAGAACAGTGTCTTTAGAAAAGGATGGCCCTACTGTACCGTGTTGTGTATAGGCCTGGAATTAGAAGCTTTGACTCTACTGCAGATGTACCACGCACCGAGTGACCTTGATGCATAGCTTCATCATTGACGATCAACTTAATAGTAATAAAATAGCATAAATATACTTAATAACGCACCAAATCAGATTTTACGCGAGCATCTGTGCTTATTTTGAGACGCTGTTTCCGAATATGAAATCAGTTTTTACCTTCGATAATTATTTTTTAAAATTTTACGTCACCTCGCGTCTCCCTCAAATCTGACCGTGATCGTACGGAAAATATCAAGCAGCGCTTGATTTCTCGACCGAGTCTCCAAGTGTAATAGTTCAAATTTTGTACAATTTTGTGGTTACGCCTAATACGGGTTGCACACTACGGAAGGGATCGGCCGATCGGACAGATCGTCCAACTCGGTCGCTTAAAAAACAAACGTGTTTGTTTTCAGTTTCAGGCGACGAGTCGGGCGATCGGCCCGATCCAGCCGTAATGGGCACCACGTATAACGATTTATCGTACGATCGCTAGATCGTCCAGTTTTTGTACAATTTATTGCTACGTGTAACCGGACCTTTAGGCCTTTGCTTTCTATCTCAAAGGTTGATGGCGTGGATAGTTTAGGAGTTTAGGGGCTTGACTATCGGTTGTCATTCGTGGGTTCGAGGCTAAGCTCAATTGGACTCGGTGTTTTTGGAGGAAGGCAGTGGGCACGAATTTTCCCATTTTGGTCGGTCTTTTCGAAAGTTCCGCCTCTTAATTAACCTTAAAATTCCGCATAGGGCTTTAACCCTGTATGTTTTACTTTAGTAGAGGTTTTACTCGCAATTGCATACGATCATATGAGCGCCAATAACCCTGTATGTTTTTTGGTCTCAAAGGTGTTTGCTACTTTGGCATGCTAGATGAACCGAACGTGCACCCAAAGTTTGGTGAACTTGCCAACTACAGCAACAGCAACCTGAAGCCGGACATGTCCACATTGACTAGGAGCCTAAAGTCAGCAGGAGGTCAAGGGAGGGTTGGCCATGTTATATGTAACTTGGAGCTGTTGAATGGAAAACCGGTTAGCTTAATTAATAGATTGTCATTGACTTTCATTTTTATTTTTCACGTTGTAGGAAATTACCTGAGGAGTGAAACAGATCAAAAAGGTTGCAAAGATCCGTCGGTTGTGATGGTGACACTTTTTCGATCTGGTTAACTCCTTTTTCGTTGGATTTGTTGGGGTTTTTTTGTTTTTTGTTGTTGTTTGTGTTTTATTGTTGTTGTTTGTTTGTTTGTTTGTTTGTTTGTTTGTTGTTTTTTAGGGAGAAGATGGAGTGTTTGTTTGTAACTGTAGCTGTAAATGTTTTACGCGCTCATCGATACAATTCAGATCATTTAGGAGACGGGCTGTGTCCACGTTGCCGTTCTGGACCAACTCACGTTGAGCTGAATACTGCACGTTGAGCTGAATACTGCATCACAGCAGATATATATAAGACAGACATACTTGAGACAAAAACTTTCCCTTTCGGGCATCCGCGTGTGATTGCAAGGAGCGTAACATCTACAAGACGGACACCGCGATCTGGCTGTTTTGAATGTTTTGTTTCCCTTTTAGGGTAAATAATATATTATATCATTATGACAATGGGGCAGCTAGGAATTATTTATTTGATGAACAGTAGTTAAGAGGTATCTTTGCGAGACGAAAGATGGGAGAAATGAAGGCAAGGAAACAGCGGACTAGCCTAATTCAAATTCATCCCTCGCTAAAAAGAATACCGTCCACATTGTTTGGTTCTTTATTTTTGGGGGGGGGGGTTGCAAGCTAAGTTACTGTCGAGACGACTGCTTGAATTGGAAGAAGCAGCTGACCTACAAGTTAACGAAACTTGAATGTGATAGACCATCATGCCAATATGCTTCTCTCTACTCGAACTAAAAAGCCAGTTTGTTTAGAACTGTTGAGCTAAAGCACAAGTGTGCGAATGATCGGCTTTTGAAATTTTGTTCTAATTATTTTTGGCAGGACATGTCTTGCCCCCGGATTGCAGCGCAAAACCAGATATCCAAGTTAGCAGAACTGGGACTCACAATCAAATCGTCCTCCGAGATTGAATTTGACATACGGAACACTGAAACCAATGAAGACTTTGGTCACACTGCTCAATGGGCGAGCATCAACATTGTAGAAGACCAGCAGGCAAGTGTTGGAGAATGGTTTCATTTGTTGGTTGATTCAAATAACGGCAGTGTGTGGTTGGCGGGTGCTCTGGTGTGGTTTGCTTCTTCTTTCCTATCAAACGTCTATCGTCCTTATCTCACATTCTTCTTTTTTATGTGTGTTACTCTCTTGTAACACTTCTAATCTTCTGGCGCTCATATGATCTTATGCAGTTGTGAGCGCCGTAAAACCTCTACTAAAACTAAAACTAAATAACGGCATTTTTTTTTTTAGCTAGGAACCACAGTTCATTATGTTGGTGTCAAGTTGGACTACGACCACGACGCTGGAAACGCCATTTGTATACCAAAGGGGACATTTTTAAAATTGGATTGTGTGAAGAGCTTTCTTGGCTCTCTGCTCTTTACTCTGTTGCAAAGGGTGAGAGACGGGACATTTGAACTATGATATGTTCACTTTTGTCTGACCGCGTTAAAAAGGTTCTAGATCATTTAGGAATTTACCTATTCCCACGAAACTTGGCATGGCACTTCTGCAGGCAAGCGAACAAACAAAAAAAATTTTTTTTCAAATATTGATCAATTGTAATAAAAAAGTTTTTTTTTCTTTTTTCCATATATTAAAAACCGCCCTTTTAATGCATTTAATACAGAGGATCACTAAAAAATAAATGACTTACAGTATCCTACAAAGTGTTATTTTGAGACAGCGGCACCGCCCTGCCTCCACATTTTTGTGTAGACCTAAGCTTGTAGATTTCAACCCCCCCCCCCCCCCCCCCACGGCTGTCTAAACGTCTCCATGTGCTCCATATGAGTCTTGATAATGACTCATACGTGATTTGAACCGTGTTGTGTTTCTTAGGCGAACTTTAAAGAGTCATGTTGAGGAAAATACGTCAACTTTTAAATGATTTAAATGTATGCTGCAAATCCCCTTTTATTTTTTTGTTACCCGCTTTTAGCTTACATAAAAAAAACAACGTGTCGGAACTTTTGGTTTGCAGTGACCTTTATGAACGTGCTTTTAGATTCTGTTGGCCATCCAACTTGTAGACACATCTACCAAAAAATAGGAGAGGATTGAACAGACAAATTTCATGTTATCTTGATTGAAGCGCTGTCAGACGAAAGTGAACAAGGTAAAGCTATAATGCTTTATACATTGTATGATTGTTATATATTTATCAATTTCTTTCAGGCCATAATTCTAGAACTGCTTGATGAACTCAGTGACATCAATGTGAATGTGGACACCTTCCAGACAGAGGCGGGCCCAGGACAGTATGAGATCACTATGGATATTGCAGAAGGAATCAAGGTAATAAAATCATTTTGACACATTTACTGTTTTGGCAGTGGCTTCCTTCTGAAAAGTAAATGGATCTATACTACACAAGTACTTTTCAGAGCATGTTTATGGGCTGGATTAGTAGAATAACAGAGACAATAAAAATATAACCACACTGCTCCCAAATGACTTATTTATATGATTTGTCTGAACTATATCTATAAGAGTAAAGACATATAAGTGAAACACGTTTTGGGAGCCGTGTGGTAACATTTTTGTTGTCTCTGTTATTCTACAAATCCAGCCCATAAAACATGCTCTGAAAAATACTTGTTGATCATGGCAATTGAATATAAAGTTCTCATCGAGTGAGAAAATTATGTTATGCTTTTAAGGTCACGCGCAGAGGTCATTATACAAAACCTTTCAATGTTTCTGGATCGCCCGCTAATTGAGGTCGAGTCTTCAAACCAAGAGGGGTCAAATTTTCCTTTTCTTCCTGTCCAGTATGCCCTTGACTGTGCTCAAACAGGAACATAATATATGTTCTGTCTTAATAGCGGGCTACATAGTGTCTCCTGTTTTGAGAAAATCTAAGGTAAAGTTTTTGCCCCTTGTTCAGTTTCTATAAAAGACAAGAAGAGTTTTCTCGGTAGCCAAACAAATATATACACCAGTGAAACCAAACTTCTTCTACATGTAGAGAAATGCCCACTTTTGGTGTAGGTCAAGATTTCTGGAAACCCCCGAAATCTGGGTTAGCCCGCTTGTAGAAAAGCGACCATATATAGTTTGAGGGTGAGTAATATCGAAAAAGCAGGAAGTAAATAATGAAGTACAAAAAAGTGTCATTTGTCGAGTTTTGTGAAACCTTCTCATTAAAAAATGTAGCAATAAAGTTCCTTGTAAAAAAAAATGCACGTTTCATTTTTAATTACAACACATGAAACTGTACTTTAAAACATTTTTTACTCTTGCAGGGTCCTGATAGCACAGCTCGTTTCAAGAATGCTTCTAAGACATTTTTCAGAAAAAGAGGATACACAGCATCCTATATGACAAAAGTGGACCTGAACGGTATAAGCAGTGGCATGCACTTTAATCACTCTTTGTGGACAAACGATGGCCTAAACGCTTTCAAAGATCCCAGTCAACCCGAAAATTTGTCTGAGCTCGGTCGCCATTGGCTGGCAGGTCTTCTCCATCACGCGCCGGGGATAACAGCGATGTGTTCACCCACCGTCAACTGTTACAGGTCAGATCAGCTAGAACGTCAGATAAAGTTACAATATTATTTCATAAATGTGTCAATAACAAAGCTCCCTCATATCTTAGTGATCTCATCCAGATTTATGTTCCATCTAGATCACTAAGATCAGGCGACCAGTATCTACTTTTAAGAGTTCCTAGAAAAAGGGGTAAAAAATTAGCTGAAAGATCGTTTGCCCATCTTGCTCCATCAGTTTGGAACTCTCTTTCCCGCCCCATGAGACATACAACATCTGAGTCTAAATTTTAATTATCTTTAAAGAAACATTTAATGACATCATTCTTTCGTGTTCAGTAAAATGTCATGTAAATGGCAATGTATCCATTTAAATATTTTGCAAATTGCATTGTGTATATTATTTTCTTATGTATTTGTATGTGCTCATTTCGTAACGATGTGTATGCGTGCGTGAGTGATAAGCAAATAGATGTGTGTGTGTGTATGTGTGTGTGTGTGTGTGTGTGTATGTGTGTGTGTGTGTGTGTATGTGTGTGTGTGTGTGTGTGCGCGCATGTGTTTGACGTGCATGTGTGAGAAACATATGTGCGTGTAGTGTGTGTGTGTGTGTGTGTGTGTGTGTGTGTGTGTGTGTGTGTGTGTGTGTGAGAGTGCATGTAGTGTGTGTGTGTGTGTGTGTGAGTGCGTGTGTGTGTGTGTGTGTGTGTGTGTGTGTGTGTGTGTGACGTGTGTGTGTGTGTGTGTGTGTGTGTGTGTGTGTGTGTGACGTGTGTGTGTGTGTGTGTGTGCGTGTAGTGTGTGTGTGCGTGTGAGTGCGTGTGTGTTTGTGTGAGTGTGTGAGTGTGCGCGTACGTGAATATTGTTCGTACAAGCATTTTACGTAAAGCCCCTAGAGCTGTGTTCACACGGGAGTGGGCGCTATAGAACTGATCTACATTAGTATTGTTAAATCTATTATTAATATTATCATTTGATATGCCTTGAAACAAGGATAGATGTGTGTGTGTGTGTGTGTGTGTGTGTGTGTGTGTGTGTGTATGTGTGTGTGCGCATGTGTTTGACGTGCATGTGTGAGAAACATATGTGCGTGTAGTGTGTGTGTGTGTGTGTGTGTGTGTGTGTGTGAGTGCGTGTAGTGTGTGTGTGTGTGTGTGTGTGTGTGTGTGTGTGTGTGTGTGTGTGTGTGACGTGTGTGTGTGTG